CAATTCTCAGCACCACATATAAATAAATGAGTAAAATAAAGGTCCATCAACAACTAAAAAATATTTTTTTAAAGGAGGGGTGGCGCTGGGGATGTGGCTCAGTGGTTTAGTGCCACTGGGTTCAATCCTCAATACCACACACACACACACAAAAAAAGGCTGGGAATGGAGCTCAGTGGTAAAATGTCTCTAGGTTCAACTGCCAGCACTACATGTACATACATGCGCACATACGTGTGCACACACATGCCCGTGCACACACTTGAGCAATACATAGGATTGTTTTTAAAACTAAAACCAAAACAAAGCCACACCCACCTTTTAAAATCAGTTTTGTTTTGTTTTGTTTTTTTAACACTTAGAAGACCTTAGATCTAAGAACAAAACTATAAGACTGTAAAAATTCTAGAAATGGAATTTTTTTGGAACTCCAGAAATCAAGATGTTTGACTTGTATATATTTTGAACTTTCAGAATGGCTATACAGATATCATATTACTTAGATCTCTCCTGATTTACTGATACTCCAAACATTATAATCTTATTAGATATTGATTACCCATCCAAAAAATACAAATAAAGTACACAAGTAGCAGAAGTACTAAAGTAATAATAACTTTGCATTTATATACCAGTTTATAGTTTACAAAGTATGATAGAAAAAGCATGGACCTTGGATTTAGAAAAAAAATATTTCATAGGTCTACAACCCTGAGTAAATTTTAATCTCCCAAACTTCACACTCCTCCTTTATAAAAAATGGAACAGTTATCATGGATTCAGTTAAAAAAACAATTTCTTATAGTGAGCTTTTCATCTTTTTAAATGATAATCATTTATATTTTGAATATATAATGAGTCATTTTAAAATTTTAAAGCTACACATTATAACCAAGTGCAACAGTGTAGCCTTTATTGGAAAATGAATAAAAATTGGTTTAGACAGGAACATGAGCAAGCACCTGTAGTCCCAGCTACTAGAAAGACTGAGGTAGAAGGATCACTTGAGCCTAGGAGATCAAGACTAGGTTGGGCAATAGAGCAAGCACCCTCTCAAAACAAGGTTTAAAAAGAGGGACAATTTGGAAAAAATTTAACCCCTGGATGGATATTGGATAATATAGAAAAATTATTCCCACATATCTGGGTTATGCAGGAAAATGTTCCTTTTCATTAGAGACCTATTAAAATACTTAGAAATCAAATATCAGGAATAAAAGCAGGGCTGGGATGTGGCTCAAGTGGTAGCGTGCTCGTCTGGTATGCGTGTGGCCTGGGTTCGTTCCTCAGCACCACATACAAAAAAAGATGTTGTGTCCGCCAAAAACTAAAAAATAAATATTTAAAAAATTCTCTTTCTCTCTCTCTCTCTTTAAAAAAAAAAAAAAGAAATAAAAGCAAATATAGTACAGCAAAATATTAGCAGATTAAAAAATTTGAGTGATAGATTTACATGGGTTCAATGTATTTCTTTCTCTACTTTTCTGGTTGTTTTTAATTTTTCAAATAAAAAAGGTTTATAGTGGCCTGGGAGGCTGAGACAGGAGGATCATGAGTTCAAAGCAAAGATTCAGCAAAAAGTGAAGTGGTAAGCAAGTCAGTGAGACCCTGTCTCTAAATAAAATACAAAACAGGGCTGGGGATAGAGTGCCTCTGAGTTCAATCTCTGGTACAAAATAATAATAATAATAATAATAATAATAATAATAATGTTTATAAGGAGCCAGGCACTGTGGCACAAGCCTATAATCCCGGCTACTTCAGAAACTGAGGAAGGAAAATCATAAGTTTGATAGGACTAACTCCCAAAACCTGTTTTTTTCTCTGGGCCCGTCACTCCCAAATTTCTGAGAAATCTACAAATATTAGAGTAATTGTAAAAAAAAAAAAAAACTGCCTCTTTTTGATTAAAGCTTAAGTGCAACTAGCCTACACAATGTACTTTCAGATTAAAGCAAAGAAAGATGTATTTTAAGAAACGTATAATACAAGGTAATATTCTAAATATCATCTGTTGATCAGACATAAAAGACAATATCAACCTAAAGATCCTGAGAATGCCAGACCAATGATGGGATCTAGGATGATGCCATCCTCACATACATTCCCATTAAAGTTTTAGACCTCATAAGTGTTTCTCACTCTCAAGGTAGCCTGCATTCTCCTCTAAGTATGGTATTGTCACCTTTCACTTTCTAATAAAGCTCCTCCTCTTTGCTAAAATCTAATTCATACTTAAATTCTTTTCAGGGATATGTCAAGAGCCTGAAAGGAGGTTGGCAAAGCAGCACACTGTTGGGATATACATACAGCTGTAATCCCAGAGAGTCAGGAGGCTGTGGCAGGAGGATCACAAGTTCGAGGCCAGCCTAAAAAACTTACCAAGACTCTATCTCAAAATATAAAGGGATAGGGATACAGCTCAGTAATAGAACCTGGAGTCAAGCTTCAGTACCAAAGGGGAGGAAAAAGAGCCTGGAAGGTCTGAGAAGAGTTCTCCCTGGAGAAAATTCCTCAAAGCCCCTTAGAGTGACATTGTGAAAGTGAAACTCTGGACCCACTAACAATAATTCCCATTTCCCTCTCCCCAGCCTCTGGCAACCAGTTTTCTACTTTCTGTCTCTGTGATTCTAATTACCATCCACAGATATTCCATGCCCATGCCCATTTATGGTGTGTGTGTGTGTGTGTGTGTGTGTGTGTGTGTGTGAGAGAGAGAGAGAGAGAGAGAGAGAGAGAACCACAATGGTTGCAAAATGCACACGCTTTTTGGCATCTTTTCTTTTTCACTATATATTGGAAATCTTTCAATATTGGCTCATTTACATAAATACATAAATCTGTTTAACCATCCTCTTTTGATGAAAACCTGGGAACTCATATTTCTTTTCTTTCCATTTTTCTTTTTGGGAATTGAACTCAAGTGCGTTCTACCACTGAGTTTTATTCCTAGCACTTTAAATTTTTTATTTTGAGTCAGGATATTGATAAATTGCCCAGTCTGGCCTCAAACTTGGAATCTCCTGCCTCAGACTCCTGAGTAGTTGGAATTATAGACATGCACCACCAGGCCCAGCTGGAACTCATATTTGATAGTCTCTTTCAGTTAAAAAAACAAAACACTCAACTGACTATAAACTTGCTCCCCCTACCCTTTCCCTTTCTTCTAGTTCTGGGGATTGACCCCAAGGCCATGCTAGGCAAGTGCTCTGCCACTGAGCCACATCCCCAGGGGACTAAAAACTTTCAATTAGCAATTCTGCATGTTAGGCATGCAGTTAGAGTACTCAGGTGTAACCTGTCTGCCTAGGTACTCATTCATTGGGTATAATACTAAACTTCCCAACATGTGATTCCAAGACATCCAATATGTATACTTCTCACCCAGTCATACCTGGTTCCTGAACCAAGTCATCTGGCATTTACCATTGTGTAGGACCTGCTTTTCTTATAGAGTAGCTTTTAGACTACATAGGCTCCAATCTAGATGTACAATAATCACCATAGTTTTTCATTTTTATTTACTTTTATGTCGTGCTGAGGATGGAACCTAGTGCCTCACAAGTGCTAGCCAAGCACTCTACCACTGAGATACAACCCCAGCCCTCCTTTTAAAATATTTTCCTTTTAATACAAGCAATTGTTTCTGACTAACCTGGTCAGATTTCTATATAACCTTTCCCTCCTTCCAGGCCATTTTGAAGTTCTCTTCAAAAACCATCCAGTAAACATACTCTAAATTTTCTAGATTCAACTTAACTCTAGAAACTGTAAAGCAGTTTGCTTTCTCAGCAGAAATGCTTAGAATATCCAATTTGGTGTAACAGTAAGATGTTTTAGCATCATATTAAGTGATGCTAATTACACTAAAAAGGCTAGTTTAAGCAAATTACCATCAGAAATGTATAGAATCACATCCAAAAGGTGCTGCATAAAACACCTGCCATCACAACATTGCATTTTTTTTTGTGACACACCCGAGTGTATTTGGCATATTTGTAGTAAGTACTAATTAAATCCTAGTCGAATTCTGAATATTATCTTCCACTGTTTCATTCTCAGCCAAACTTGTGAACAGAACTTAAAACAAATTTTAAGATTTCCCAGGGACTGGGCTGAGGTTGTGGCTCAGTGGTAGAGAACTTGCCTAGCATGTGTGAGGCACTGGTTCGATTCTCAGCACCACATATAAATAAATAAAATAAAGATCCATTGACAACAACAACAATAATAATAAAAGATTTCCTGGGATTTAGAATGGTATTAAGCTTTTAATACTAAAAAAGTATTTGTGGCCTGTCGTGGGGGTGCAATTTTTATTTCCAGCTACTCTACTTGGAAGACTAAGGTAGGAGGGTAAGAGTAAAGCTTCCTTATTTATGATGGCAGTCCCAAGTTGATTGAAGCCACGGAAGTAAACTTCCCAACAAAATGGCTTAATCTTACTCTCAGAGATGACTAAATCGAACAAATTGAGGAGGGAGGTGCAAAGCATTTCCTTTCCATAATTATGCACCGAGATCGTACTAAATATTAAACAGACACATACTAAGCGCTCCATAGTTAGCTGCTATTATTAAGACACATCCCACAAGGAGACGACCAAAGGAGGAAAAAGAAGCGAGTCACAAGAGGCCACAGGAGCCCCTGGCCTGAGACCCGCAAATCTTTGAGCACCAGGGTCTAGGGCACCCTCCCCAGAGACCAAAAGAGATTGGCGGCCTCCATAAAAGGTCAAGGTTTTGGAGCCACGTTTCCTTTGCGGCTGAGAACACAGTCGGAACGCCCCCGCGAGAATACATATCCTGAAGTCAGAATCACCGCCTGCCCGTAAACCCGCGCAGGATCCGGGAAAGTGGGTGGCCAGGTTGCCTTGAGCCACAACCTGCAGGAGCAGAGACCCTGGCGCGTCATGCAGCCCCACCACCTCCCTAAGAGACAGACCACTACGACCCTCGGGCTCCGAAATCCTCAACGCAGGTCGGCCCCTGGATACTCACATTCACAGCCAACCCCTCTTACTCCATCAGGCCGCCAAAGGCCCGGCAAGGGAGCTCCCTGACGCCCCCCT